GTGTCGGCAGCAGTTAGCCACCGGCACAGAATATTTCTAAGTATCCGTTCGCGGATTTATACGTGCTCGTCCGTCTGTGTCGGCAGCAGTTAGCCACCGACACAGAATATTTCTAAGTATCTGTTCGCGGATTCATACGTGCTCGTCCGTCTGTGTCGGCAGCAGTTAGCCACCGGCACAGAATATTTCTAAGTATCCGTTCGCGGATTTATACGTGCTCGTCCGTCTGTGTCGGCAGCAGTTAGCCACCGACACAGAATATTTCTAAGTATCTGCTCGCGGATTCATACGTGCTCGTCCGTCTGTGTCGGCAGCAGTTAGCCACCGGCACAGGATATTTCTAAGTATCTGTTCGCGGATTCATACGTGCTCGTCCGTCTGTGTCGGCAGCAGTTAGCCACCGGCACAGGATATTTCTAAGTATCTGTTCACCGATTTACAAGTGTTCGTCCGTCTGCGTCGGCAGCCGTTGGCCACCGACGAAGAATATTTCCGAAGTATCTGTTCGCGAAATCATCAGTGCTAGTCCGACTTGTGACTGTGGTGAGCTACCCGGAATAAACCGCCTCCAACTTATCCAGAGGACAGCTGGCGTAAAGCGCCCTCAACAGGACTCGTGGCCGAGGACGTCGGACTGCCACGAGGCCGCGGAACATCCCCTCTGATCCCGCGGTTAGGGGACCATCCTTGCGGCTAAGCGGGGAGTCACGGGCACCGAGGAACGGGCATCGCCGACGCCACACCGGGACAGCGAGCCGCCCACATACACTTATATACATATATCTATTATATAGCATCGGACGTCTTTTGAATAAACGGGGGCGCCTTGCGGGACGCACCCAACTTGTTAATACAGAAACACTGAACGCATCTTTCTTCCAAGAAGCTACCTTGAACTAGCCCTTCACCCGAGTAACGCACCGACGCGGCGGCGAGCGAGGCGTCGCGGAAGCGGCGAGCCGGGCGCGACGGTGGGGCGACCGATCGCACCGAACCCCGCGGGCGTTACCGTTACAAACTTGGTAAATATTGCCAATTTGACATTATAGTACTTGACTTTTCTTCTCGGCTGCACCCAATCTATTTCCAACTTTCGTCTGCATGATCAGCTATCAAACACCCTGTATATAAAATATATATACTACTGTGATCAAAAAATAAAGTGAATTTTTCATTTAAATTTCGCGAGTACTATAAAATCATGAAATTATTTTTTGGTGAGTTGGTAGCACTGTCTTTGACATCTATGCAGAGTTTCATGTCAATATATTCTATTACTACAGAGCTATACGTGTTTTTGTAAACATACAAAAGTGAGTTTTTCGATTTTTACTATGTTTGATTTTGTTGAGCAAAGAATTTGCATTAAATTTTGTTTGCGGAATGAATATTCTGCCGCGGAAACGTTGAGAATGTTGCAGAAGGCCTTTGGTGATAAGGCTATGTCGCAAAAAATATTTACAAGTGGTACAAAGGCTTCAGAGAAGGCCGAGAACGAGTTCAAGACGATCAGCGCCCCGGACGACCATCAACATCTACCGATGAAAGCCACATGAAGGAAATCAAAGATTTGCTGTTGGAATATTATTTGAGTGTTATGCGTCGTTTGCGTGAAGCTATTCATCTCAAGAGGCCAGAATTATGGGCAGACAATTCTTGGTTTTTGCACCACGATAATGCACCGTCCCACACTGCATTAGTTCTTCGAGAACAATTCGCCAAAAATTTGACCCATATTGTTCCACAACCACCGTATTCGCCTGATTTAGCACCGTGCGACTTCTGGCTATTGAACAAACTCAAAAGACCACTCCGGAGACACCGTTTCGACTCGATTGAGGAGATAAAAGCCGAATCGAAGAAAGTATTGAAGGCCATCCCGGAAAAAGACTTCTCTGACTGTTTCGAGGATTGGAAAAAACGTTGGCATAAGTGCATTGTGTCGGACGCGGAGTACTTTGAAGGCGATGAAATTGATTTGGAAGAATAAATAAAGATTTTTCATTTTATAAACAAATTCACCTTATTTTTTATCACAGTAGTATATGTATTAAACACGTAAACATATATATTTTAAATTTATTATTAAACGAGGAAACAATTTTAATGATAATGTGACGCACCAGCTGATTTCTTATACAGCGACGGGCCTGAGTGCACCGCGATCGTCGCCCTAGCCGCTAAGCGCGAAGCTCAGCTTCTATCTCGGTGCGAGAGAGACGGTAGGCGTCACCTACTGAATTTCTCCCGAAATGTGCAGATTGTGGCCAGCTCTATATTAGAAGATCCCTATTTCGAGCTATTGCAAATATAGCGATTCCGTTGTGATTAGCGTATGCGTGTGTTACGTCCTGTAGATTTAATTAGTAAAAATTCTTTCCTCTCGCAGATTTATATTCTCCTAATATAACTATAATAGGAATATATACATATATAAATATAAATTAGGAAACAGACCCATCTGGCGAACAGCCGTCGCGCCAAATGAAAGGCGATTCGGGAAAATTCCATAACAGGAAACAGTGCCCTGTTGTAAAAATCTACGTCTTCGTTTAAAGTTTATATCTGGGTAGTGTTCGCCAAGTGTGTCCGTCGTCCTAGCCATAAAAAAAATTTGAAACTCCGCGCTAACAAACCTTCAGTAAAACAAAGCAACACAGAGCATTCCTGCTCTAAAACTTGAAACTTATATCTTCCCAATCCAAAACCATATGTGCCCTATCAGTCAACCAACAAAGCTTACTTCACTGATAGTCGTAAAATCTGATCTCAGCCTTTGATTTACGGTATTTTGATTTTTCCAGCCGGCCACTTGTATACATTTCTCTATCTCAAGAATCCACCACCTCCACGCTTGTCGCGCCTAATTCATTCAGCCAATCATATATCCACCTAAAACTATGAGACACCCACGCTCCACCCTTTAGCCCTTCCATATTCATATCTCCAAAAACTAACTGTCTCCTCCCACGATGTCTTTTAACTTTGCTAATGGCTGAGACTTTTTCCCACTAAGACCAATTCACCCCTTCCTCAAAGGCCATCTCTCTACCCACCCTGATAGTTTCTGCCTCCGATTATCACTATAAAAACCGCGGTAATCCGCCTCCGCGACACACACTACTTCTATTTCTACTTCTAATTCTACTCTGAAAAAGGCAGTCATACTCTCACTCGGATATTCTGTTTTGAGCATTCAGAATTTAGATTTCAAGTCAGACATTCAGATAATATATCTACGATTCATATATCCGAGTTTGTGCAAACATTCAAAGAAATCAGCAAAAGGCATTAGTGTTTGTGTTATAATTGAACAACCGGAAGGGAGTGGACGAGCACAACTTAACCTACCGAGCAGGAGCTACCAAACGACAATTTTATTTTTTGCTCACCTTCGGGATAACAGGAGTCAGCAGTAAGTTCTGTTTTTTTTTTGCTTCTACCTTTTTTTTTATTTCCTCCTTCTTTCACTTCTCATACATACACACATACACATACACAGTCATTCCTCAACTGTATTAAACCGCGCCGTAATTCATTTTGTTATTTTAATAAATCTGTTTATATTTCATTCTTTTTCCAATTGATTTCAAAATCACATATACCCTTCCAACAGTCAACTCATGGTCCTATCCCCGGTAAAGGGATTCGCGTCCCTGACCGAAAAACGGACCGCTCGTCGTACGTCGGTGCCCGAGTAAAGGGACCCGTCGGGTCCCTGACCCGTTCACTGATACGCGTGTACGAACGAGGTTCGCCTTACTCGCGAACGAAAGGGTTGCGTTCCTCCTCTAGGACGTAACACGTGCTTGTAGTTATTTTGAAGAAGAAAGGAAAGAATAGTGATTCTGAACAGCGATCCACAGTATTTATTGCTGCACAAAAGTAAAAGATAAACACATTGTCTGTATCTATTAATGATAATAGGGAATCACGTCCCATAGATAATGAAAGTCTTACCCAGAGTTAACCTATAACCTCAAGATAACTGAGTTCCGTTAAAATAAAAATAATTGTATGTATCTATGAGACAGATTTATAAGAAACGTCGTTGTATATTTTCTTACATTATTTTCTATGTGAATACGTTTTGTAGATACGTTTTATTTTCTGCAATATGTTTGTTTATTCTGCAGTGGATATACATGCATATACCTCTGTAATATATTTACGTAAATGTACTACATACTTTAGAGAACAAAGCATCAGATAATTAAAATAAACAATTATAACACATAAACAGTAGCATAATAAATATTAGATCTGTAGTTGGAGCTCTGTATGTATATTATATTACTTTTACCAGGCGGTTAATAACTCTTAATTTTTTCTTAAAAAAAACACATTTAAATTGGGAGAAAGGTAAAAAATGGTTTATTCAAAGTATGCGCCATCGCTAGTTACACATTTTTCCCATCTCTCTGGCAATTTGTGGATGCCCTCCCAAAAGAACCGTACATCTTTTGAGGTGGTCCAATCATCAAGCCATTTTTCAACATCTCCGTAATTATTGAAATGTTTCATGGAGAGTGCGTGAGACATCGATGAAAACAAGTGGTAGTCGGAAGGGGCCAAGTCTGGTGAATACGGCGGGTGGGGCAAGAGTTCCCAGCTAAGTGTAGAAATGGTGTCTTTGACTGCTTTCGCTGTGTGTGATGGGGCGTTGTCGTGCTGCAAAACTACTTTCCCGTGCCTTATAGCCCATTCTGGTCGCTTTTCGATCAATGCATGGTTCAAATTGATCATTTGTTGACGGTATCAACTGTTTCACCTAGTTTCAGAAGCTCATGGTACACGATACCCTTCTGATCCCACCAAATGCACAGTATTATTTTCTTTCCAAAGCGATTCGGTCTTGCGGTCGATGTTGATGATTGTCCTGGGTAAACCCATGATTTTCTGAGTTTTGGGTTCTCAAAATATATCCATTTCTCGTCTCCAGTTACGATCCGATGCAAAAAAATCTTTCTTTTATGCCGAGAAAGCAAAACTTCGCACACCGTTTTTCGCTTTTTCATGTCTATCGTTCAACGGATGTGGTATCCATTTTCCTGCTTTCTGGATCTTTCCCATGGCATGCAGACGATCACAAATGGTTCGGCGACCAACATTTAACCTCTCTGTCATTTGTTGTTGAGTTTGCGTATCGTCTTCGTCCAACAATGCTTGCAATTCGGCACCTTGAAATTTTTTCGGTTGACCTGGGCGTTCTTTATCTTTCAAGTCAAAATCACCACTTATAATCGTCTAAACCAACGCACACAAGCGTCTTGTGTTAGGACATTGTCACTGTAAGTTTCCACAAGTATACGACAGCTTTCACTCGCGTTTTTCTTTTGACTGAACAAGAAAAGCAGTACGTGCAGCAAATGCTCTTTATTTGGCTTGAAACTCGACATGTTTACCACACGAAAAAAATATGACGCCAACCCGAAATCGTTTAAACATCAATGGCGTTTTGAAAGGTACCGTCATAGCAACAAAATGACATAAGAGGTTAAACTGTGAACCAATCCTTGTTTCCAGCGCCATCTCTTAAAAAAATTAAGAATTATTAACCGCCACACCTGGTATCTGATACAAATAAGACGCTTTGGTCTATACCAGAGCTGGCCACAATCTGCACATTTCGGACGAATTTCAATAGGTGACGCCTACCGTCTCCTCGCACCGCTCCGCGCTCAGTGGCTAGGGCGATGATCGTGATGCGCTCAAGCCCGTCGCTGTATAAGAAATCAGTTGGTGCGTCATATTATCATTAAAATTGTTTCCTCGTTTAATAACCACTTTAGAATATATATGTTTACGTGTTTAATACATATATATATATTTTATATATATATATAATTAATTACAATGTGTAATTAAAAGAATGACATTAAAAAAAGTATAATTAAAGAACTATTATAATAGATTTTCACATCACCCATGAGGTACTATTGTTGATGTGTTTTTTTTTAAATGGTTTCCCCAGTAGGCCTATTCCACTAAACAATGAAGACAAAATACGATAAAATGTACGGCTCGGCAGGAAAACTAGATGAAAAGAGGTAAACGATCATATTTAGGAAGAAATAAACTAGCACGTCTTGGGTCGTTTAGACTCTACTATAGATGATATATCCACAGACATTTTAGAAGAACTAGCTCGCATCAACGAAGAAAGTGATGTATCATTTAGAGAAGAACGTTTATCCGTTTTTGTCAATTTCATTCTTAAGAAGGAGCATTCGCATAAATATGTGGACCCAAATATAGAAAAAATTCGGAGACCAAAATCTCTAAGACGTGGATAAGATGAAGACTAAAATTTTGAAAAACTCGGTCTCCTTTTCTAATCGGGATTTCAAAGAAATATCGCATTGCAAATCGCACGATTCTTCCTGAAGAAATAGGCTTTGTTCCTCGATTTGCGCGGTAAGAGGATTGCTAAAGAGGATTAAATCTTGTCTTAAACTTTCGAAGTCAGAAAAACGCCTATCAAATTGATCAATTAAAGATTGAATAATATTCAGTTGCTTTGGAAAATTACAATTTGTGCCGTGTTCTTCAAAGAGAATTTGGCAAGAAGGGAAAAAGTGAAGAACATTACCTTGCAACTTATTTTTAAGAAGCAGCAATTTTCTGCGGAAAGCATCGATACAACTAACTAATTGCGTAATTGTTTGATTGGACTTTTGCAGCTTTAAATTTAGAATATTTAAATGATTTGTTAAATCAGTTATTAAAGCAAGCTAATGTGAGTCAACTATATATTTTTGCTCAAATCATATGTAAAACGATTTTTCATATGTCGAGGAGTTCTTAGACTTTGTATGATTACACAGGAGAACAACAGGTATTAAGATCTTTAAGGCTGTTAGCCAAATTCTACAAAAGTTTGACATCGATTTCTCCAAATGTTCGGCTATAGTCACCGATGGTGCAAAAGCAATGATAAGTTTGAAAAACAACTTTTTTGAATAAATAAGTCAGCGAGGTTTTAAAATCTCTGTTACTCATTGTATCATTCGTCTTATCTACGTCTTAGAGATTCGTACGTAATTTCGCCTCTTCGGCGTACTTTTTGCTGTAAAATTTTGTTTTCCTGCGGAGCCATACATTTTATCGTATTTCGTCTTTGTTATTTAGTGCAATAAGCCTACTGGCGAAACCACTTTAAAAAAAACGCATCAGCAATAGCATCTCAAGGGTGAAATCTATTGCAATAATTCTTTAATTATACCTTTTTTAATGATGTAATTCTTTTAATTATACATTGTTTTACTATACATTGTACACTATATATTGTTTTATTACAAATTAACTATCTTTATATATATATATATATATAAAATTTTTTACTCGCTTAATAATTACTTTCAAATATATATAAGTTTATGCATTATATATGTATATATATATATATATGCGTATGCGCGCGCACACACACACACACACATATATATACATATTATATTATATATATATACAGGGTGAGTCAATTAAAGTGTTACAGACTTATATCTTGGAAATGAATTATTTTAGAGAAAAATGTTTCAGACAAAAGTTGTATGGTGTCAAATGGGACATAAGAAAGTATCATTGGTTAGACCTTGATTAGCCATTTGAAGGTTACGTGAAGGTCACCAACAATTTTTGAAATAGAATGCCCTACTTTTTTTGGCATATTCTTATAATGTATTTCAAGAGCTTTCCAAAACATTACAACAAAGTACTTTTTTGTTAAGTACACCCCGAGTTATGAAACTTCAAAGTTGCAGTACCGCCGGCATTTGCATTATCCAAGGTGTATCGCGTGGAGATTGCACGCTCGGATTTACACCTCTTTGTATGTGTGTGTGTGTGTGTGTGTAATAGTGTGTTCATCACAGAGATAAAGACCCCATGGTTCGTCACCTCCATAGTACTTTATGACTCCAAACTTTATCTGCTGTGTCTGTATGAGAAATAAATAAAATTTTAAAAAATTTATTGCATTGTATATTCAAAATGCTGACCCTCTGCTAAAATACATATCAAAATTCTTTCACGAAAACATTCTCGGACGTGAGCTAACATTTCTGGTGTCACTTCAGCGCAGGCTCGACGAATTCTGTTTTTCATGTCCTCAGCTGCTGTGGGTGCAATTGACATTACTCGATCTTTTATAAAACCCGAGAGGAAGAAATCTAATGATGTTAAATCAGGCGAGCGAGCCGGCCATTCGATAGGTCCTCCTCGTCCTATCCATTTTCTAGGAAACATTTGGTTCATGACTCGTCTAGAGCACATCGCATTATGTGGAGGTGCACCATCGTGCTACATCCACATGTTTATCCTAATATTTAACGGAACATCTTCAAGTAGTTGCGGAAGTATGTCTCTTAAAAAATTGGAATACAGTGGGCCATTTAAATAGCCCTCGAAGAAGTAGGGACCTATAACCCAATCTCCCACAATTCCACACCAGACGTTTAAAGACCATGTGTATTGATGCGCAACAGTTCTCATCCAATGGGGATTTATATCAGACCAATAATGCATATTATGTCTGCTAATCTGTCCAGTATTTGTAAAATTGGCTTCATCAGAAAATATCAAATGATATGCAAAATGAGGATTAAGATTAAGTTGTCGACGTTCTTCAATCTCTAAAATTGCATCACTGCGTTACCGCATTATCATTCACGCGCTCACTCTTGATCCGACTGGCAGCGACACATATCGCTCCATACGTTATCATTATCAAAATGAATACTTTTGAAGAAGAGTTTAACATGTTAATGATTTTAGGAGAATGTAGGGGTAACTATAGGGCAGCTACAATTATGTTTAATGAACGCTATCCAAATTATCCACAAAAGTCTCATATGACATTTTATCGGATGAAAAAAAGATTCCTCCAATATGGTTGTGTGCGACCCAAACAAAAGAGACAGTCAACAATTGTTAATGAAGAAAATGCAGCAGATGTTATTGCGTATGTGTCATTAAATCCACATTCAAGTTCCAGGCAGATTTAAACAGAAAGTAGAATAAGCCAAACATCCGTTATGCGAATTCTACACAAATATAAATTTCATCCTTACCACATATCTTTACATCAAAATTTATACGAAAACGACTTTGCAAATCGCGTTAACTTTTGTAATTGGATTCGTCGACAACTTAATCTTAATCCTCATTTTGCATATCATTTGATGTTTTCTGATGAAGCCAATTTTACAAATACTGGACAGATTAACAGACATAATATGCATTACTGGTCTGATACAAATCCCCATTGGATGAGAACTGTTGCGCATCAATACACATGGTCTTTAAACGTCTGGTGTGGAATTGTGGGAGATTGGGTTATAGGTCCCTACTTCTTCGAGGGCCATTTAAATAATCCACTGTATTCCAATTTTTTAAGAGACATACTTCCGCAACTACTTGAAGATGTTCCGTTAAATATTAGGATAAACATGTGGATGCAGCACGATGATGCACATAATGCGATGTGTTCTAGACGAGTCATGAAATGTTTCCTAGAAAATGGATAGGACGAGGAGGACCTATCGAATGGCCGGCTCGCTCGCCTGATTTAACATCATTAGATTTCTTCCTCTGTGGTTTTATAAAAGATCGAGTAATGTCAATTGCACCCACAGCAGCTGAGGACATGAAAAACAGAATTCGTCGAGCCTGCGCTGAAGTGACACCAGAAATGTTAGCTCACGTCCGAGAATGTTTCCGTGAAAGAATTTTGATATGTATTTTAGCAGAGGGTCAGCATTTTGAACATACAATGTAATAAATTTTTTAAAATTTTATTTATTTCTCATACAGACACAGCAGATAAAGTTTGGAGTCATAAAATACTATGGAAGTGACGAACCATGGGGTCTTTATCTCTGTGATGAACACGGATCTTTTTTTTTTCTCTCTGCTTCCTCGTTTTTCACGTTGTTTCGGAAGGGGTTCCTCTCTCCCCGTTCCTCGCTTCTCCCGACGGTAATCCTTCCGCGGATCTTTGTTGTCGATCCGCGGAACGGATGCTCTATCTCACTCCCTCTCTCTCTCCCTCTCTCTCTCCCTCTCTCTCTCCCTCTCTCTCTCCCTCTCTCTCTCCCTCTCTCTCTCTCCCTCTCTCTCTCTCCCTCTCTCTCTCCCTCTCTCTCTCCCTCTCTCTCTCCCTCTCTCTCTCCCTCTCTCCCTCTCTCCTCTCTCCCTCCTCCCCCCCCCCCTCTCTCTCTCTCTCCCCCCTCTCTCTCTCTCTCTCTATCTATCTATCTATCTCACTCCCGCTCTCTCCCGCTCTCTCTCTCTCTCTCTCTCTCTCTCTCTCTCTCTCTCTCTCTCTTCTCTCTCTCTCTCTCTCTCTCTCTCTCTCTCTCTCTCTCTCTCTCTCTCTCTCTCTCTCCCCCTCTCTCCC